TTTTTATGTGAGTGATCTGAAAACCACATATTTGGCTCTAAGGGAAATGATCCTGAAAATTCCTTCCACTTGCATTTTTATGACAAAAAAACATATTTGTCTGACTTACCAGATTTTCACTCATCTCCTGTAGGTCCTTAAATTGGTATGTGGCCTTTTGTCCATTAATGTTGTTGAAGAGGAGGGCTGAGATGGTAAAGGTGCCGTGATAGTATTCTGTTTTCTCACCTATGATAAAAGGAAGTAGAACACGGCGTGATCTGGGGAAAGGTTTCGTGAGTAAGACCACACTGCAATGGGGCCAATGTTGAGTCCTAACTTCATATTTAACATTTTTATAATTGAATTTCATAAAAATAATGAAAATGATAATGTTTGATGTTATCAGTGGCAACAGACAGTTGTGTGTGTGTGCTACCTACTCAGTATTTCTGTGCACTTCTCTTGTATTAATTCATTTGATCCTTGACCAGCTAAGACTGATATCACTACTTCCATGCAGATGAGCAAGAGGTACCATGGCTTTAAATAGCTTGCTCTGTGTTAGACAACTGCATGTGCTTGAGTAAAGCTTTGAATCCTCAGAGTCTGGCCCTGGAACTTGGATACTTGCTGAATTGAAATCTAAAGACCAGCTAAAAGCAAAGGCAAATGAATGTCTTTGTAAATCTTGGGTTTTAATGAGAGAACCCAGGCACATCTGAAAGATACGCAGCATGGGTAAGTCCATCTGGGCTCTGTGTGGCTACTCAGAAAAGAGGGCAGTGGAGGCCCCTGAAGGATCTGGTAATCTTAAGGGTGAAGCTCAGGAGGAAAAGATGTGTAAGGTACGTGGGGATGTGTAAGCAGAGAGCAGAGCCACCATGAAGCAGCCTGGGCCCTGGACTCTGGAGGCTCAGGTGGAAGAAGCAGCTTTCTTGCTTATGTATCCAATAAAGCAATAGGGATCACAGGCTGAGGATCTTTGAAACTAAACATCTCTGGACACTGTAATGCTATTTTTGTCCCAATAAATCTTTCTTATCATCAAATTTTCTTCTCATAGTAGGGGCAGATCTTTTTTTTTTAATTTTGCTACCAAATGAACTGGTCTGAGTATCTTTCACCATTGGTATAAACTATCACTGGGATTGTCTTATGGAGCCCAGGGACATGGCCTTAAGTTCTGATCATCTCCTAAAACAAGTATTAATGTGAAGTCTGTGGTGGATGACAGCAGGTGAGATTCCAGTCAGCAGCCCAAGCTAGTCATTTTAATATATACATCTGCACGAGAGTGACACTGTGAGGACTTGTCAAAAATGCAAAAGGTTTGTACTTTGAAGAAATGTATGAATTATCAAAAGGGAGAATTTAAAAATGTATTATTTGTATATTTATAAATATATTAGGAAATAAAATATAATATTGGACATTGTTTTGGGAAAAGAAAAACATGTTTTCTCTAAAACAAGCTATAATATTGTGTTTCACTTATTACTTATCCACTAGAAATTCACTAGACACGCTTTTCTTTTGTCCTACAGATGCTGCTAAAAGACCTAGAATTGGTCTTCAATGGCCATTTTTTTTAAGTGCAGGATCTACAGGGTCTCACTACACAGATCATACTCATAGTGATTCTCCTGTTTTCAGCCTCCCAAGCGATGGGATTACAGGAGCACACCCCCACACTCAGTCTCTATTGCAGTCTCAGTGCCCCAGGGGTGGGGCCGGCATGGCATGCCAAGAATGGAACCCTGGTCACTGAGTATGCCTAAACACTCAGCTATCCGGCTGAGCTCTCTGGCTAGAAGAGCCAATTTTAATAACTAATTTTTCAGTTTTTTAATTTCAATATATAATCAAGATAAGATTTTTTACTACAAATTTTACTAGTAAATTTTGGACAATGACTTTTCCGTATTTGATGTAAATTCTTAAAAGAAATGCTGGATTTGGATTCCTATGAAGACAGGACGTTTTCTGGTTTGCTTAATGCAACATCCCGAGCACTCAGAAAAGGATTTGTATGTACAGAAATTTCTAACGAAATGACAGGATATAGGATAAAGTATTCAAAATGCAGACAGTCACAACTAAGGCTACATTTTCCTCTACACATACGAAAATGAAGATTTGTGAAAAAATAATATCAAACAACAAAATTCCTTACCAGGGACTAAGAAGTGAGCCAGGAGACCAATGGTGACCCCCACCAAGATCAGAGATAAGACAGCGAGAAAGGCGATTATCCACGGCCTCAGGGCTCTGTGCTGGGGTGCAAATCCTACTGTCCTGAAAAAAAA